GGGGGGGGTTGTTGTCTCTGGTGTAAAAAGTACCCAAAGAGACTCTGACAACATGTATATGTACAGAATAGTACACAATGAAATAATGATGGTGTCCAAACACATGAAAATAGGCTTTGATATGTTTTGAGCTGGAGTGAAGACCGTGACAGTGCACACACTCTTTGTTTTCTTCCTAGCTGTGGCAAAAGTTCTCTCTAGCTCAACTTCAAATGAAGAGATATTTTGGTAGGAGTCTAATTCTAATGTCAATGTCCTTAAAAACATTTTAAGTTTATTTTAAAGGCGGGATTTCTCATTTTGAAAGTCCAACTGTGATAGAAATAGGGGAAGTGGGTAGAGAGCTTTGAATGCTTTGTAAACAACCCCAGTTCAAAAATACCCTGTCAGGGAATTGGTATTTGAGAAGTACACGGCTGTTTAAAAAAATTCTCAATGAATGTATTTTTTAAAGTACAGTTGAACATGCTTTAATGGCCAACTGTCCCAAGGCATTCTCCTACGCAAACAAAGCAACCACTTCCCTTGTGTATTTTTTACATTATGAAGACACTGCGTAAGACTATTTTTCCTTCGACAATGGGTAGTTGTCTTAGAGAATTTCGACTTTACCAAAGGTTGACCCATTTGATTAATGACTCCGCAGGTGCTTCAGATGTTGGGAGGAGAGGAGGAACCGGTCTCTGTGATGGGCACCCGCATTACACACGCGTTGATACAGGTAATGTGCTGACTGTCAGATTTCTGTGTCATGTGGATAACTCTTTGAGGGGTGGGTTGTTTGTTGGTGGGTGCTCTGGTGTGGTTTGTTTCTTTATTTCCCATCAAACAACGGTCATCCTCCTCCTTTTTTTGTGTTTTTTACTCACTTGTAACACCTCTTATCTTCGGCACCTATATGACATTCCCCGGGGCGGTACCACTGACTGAAGTGTCTTAAGGCCATTCCCAAAGGGGGGGACATTTCTCGTTCTAATGCGCAGTAGAATTGTAAATGGGCTGGTCCAACTATGTCATGCTCATAACTGTGCCTGAACTACAACAGGGAACTGCTTCTTTTTCTTTCCTAATCCTTACTATCATCATTATCCTCTACTTCTTTTGTATGTTTGTCACACTCTTGTGACCCGCTATTTCCGGGGTGCCTTGATAGTCGAAGCAGACTTTGTGCTGTTGAAGCTAGAGAGGTGAGCTGAGTATGTCTGATTCCCTGTAAGGACTTCTCTGTTGACATCCACCCCTTGGCGCTCATATGACCTTACGCAGTTGCGAGGGCCGTAAAACCTCTACTAAAACAAACTAAATGACATTGTGTTGCAAGTGCCGTAACTCTCACTTTAACAAAATGACACTACAAAAATCATTTTGACTGACTTCTATGCAAAGCGTATGGATCGGATTAATGAGTAAATTTCTTCTTTGGAAAGTGGTGGCACAGAGTTCCCCAAGTCGTATGGATACGGTAGTAAAACATGATGTATGGATAGGGTTAAATTACCTTATAGCGTTGAAAGGGGCTTAAAATCTATACCGTTTCACCATTTACCCTTATTGCTTTCCTACAGAACCGCACATCGTGGGTAGCGTACAGCCTGGCAGCGCTGTTTTGGCGTGTGGAGGGTGACGCCAAAGAGGCTCTCGACTGTTTGCAGATGGCTTTGACCTACGTGCCACATACATACAAGGTGAGCCCTATAACCTTTACTGCTGTGGAAATTTTTATATATGCATATAATTTATTGTACTAATATAGATCTATCTATCTTTTTAAATATGATGAATTCCTGCATGTTATGTTATCGTCAGCTTTACTTTTCTTTTTATATGGTCCATTTTAAGGACAAGGTGGCTATCCCAAAAAATGCGGTTTTGAGAAAATCGAGGGTAAAGTTTTTGCCCCTTGTTCAGTTTTCTTTAAAAAACAAGGAGAGTTTTCTCTATAATCAAATAAATATACACACCAATGAAACCATACTTCTCCTATAGGTAGGGCAATGTCCACTCTTGGTGTAGGTCAAGATTTCTGGAAACCCCCAAAATCTGGGTTAGCCCGCTTGTCCTTAAAAGCGACCATATATTGTTGCTTCCTCCTGCCCCAGGACACGGTGTTGATCAGCCTGGCTAACGTGCTGCAGAACGTCCAGTACAGCAACGACGCCATCGTGGTGACCAGCGCGGCCCTGGACGTGACTAGTGACCTGCCCGTGTCTCACTTCACCATGGCCAACATCTACGCTGCCAAGGTAAACGAAGGGGTGTAGAGTATTGACTGACTGAGTGTGATTGTAAATGGTTTTCATACCCCCATCAGCAACTTCTATTGTGTAGCTTTAACCCTATCCGTACGCCCTGTCTTCATGTTTTAGAATACCTCTAGTGCGAATATCTCTTTGAAACTTTCAGTATTGCTAAAGAAATCATTTTGACAGACTGCTAGGCAAAGCGTTCGGATCAGATTAGGTAGTAAATTTCCTCTTTGGAAAGTGGTGGCACAGTTCCCCTCGTCGTATGGATGCGATAGTAAAACACGACGTACGGATATGGTTAAGGTGATTTGGGGTCGCATGCAGGTGCAGGAGACCCGAGTTTGACTCCCAAGTGGTGTGAATGTTGATCAAGTACCTCATTCTATGCGGGTGGTTGGCGGGTGCTGTGGTGCGGTTTGCTCCTTCTTTCCTATCAAACATCTATCATCTTTATCTCCCCTCCTTCTTTTATGTGTTTGTTACTCTCTTGTAGCACCTCTAATCTTCGGCACTTATATGACCTTATTGTGTTGCAAGTGCCGTAAAACTCTTACTTAAACTAAAACTAAACCTCATTCTTTCTGCAGGGATGAATCTTCACAGGCAGAATCGGAAGCCCGCCCTCCGAAATTGCTCTAAATTTGGTTTCACTAGGGTGAAAATGTTATAATTAACAGTTTTGGGATAGAAAATGTGCAGCAGTTCACCTCCAGTATAATGTAATTATACTTTACAATAATATGTAATTGCAGTGAAATATTATGTAGATAGAAGTGCTCTAAATAAGAGTATACGAGATGATACAATATAATATTTGTATAACACATATATATGGGTGTTCAACAGCAAGCTCTATGGGCTTTACAATCTATATTATAGCCCCAGCAGACCCTAGAACACTCAGAGACCTTTTCAGCTTCCCGGGAAGCCAGGTGTACCGGTTATTAACATTTGCCTTCCACATGTGAGTTACTCCTCGCATACCTTAAATGGAGCTATTGACCGAAAGTCAACTCATGGATCACACGTGTAGATTTTCAACTGATGCTTTTTTCTTTTACTTTTTATCCCCGGCAAGCCACTCCCTGCGTGCACATTCCTTTACGACGACCTCTGCGTCGAATTACTTTTGGTCAATAAAACAGGTTTCTTTTTACCGGGATTTCATTCATTAGATGAAGAACAATCGAAATAGGTTCACGTTTTATGGTTTAATGACCAACCTAGTGACGTATATGTCAATTTTTAGATTTTATACCCAAAGAGGGCCTCGGCATAGTGGGTTTACCACCCCTTGGAGATAAAGAATTATGTTTATAATGTGTTTTATCCTTTCATACCTGTAAAAGTTGTTCCCGCATCCGATCCGGACATTGGGGAATGCTTTGTTAGTGAGACAACTTCCTGGGCCTTGGGCATATTGTGGTAGGGTGGCCAGTTCCTTTCCACGCCGCCTTAACTTCCCCAACTCAAAGTCGGGTACCCATTAGTGCTGGGTGGGCAGGAGGGGGCGAAAAATATCTGTGTCCGAACCGAGGCTCGTACCCGGACTTTCCTATTCGGAGACGTGCGCACTGACCGCTCCGCCACCACACCCTCCTTCATGCTTGTAAATTGTTAAAAAAACAAAAAAAAACATTTTTTGGATGATTTTATATCCTTGGTAATTTATGTCCTTGAGCGTAAAGCAATCATACTTTACCATAATATGTCACTGCAGTGAAATATTATGTAGATGGAAGTACTCTATAAATAAATTAGAGTATATGAGATGATACTAAATAATATTTGTGCAAAACATATGGGTGTTCAACAGCAAGCTCCATGGGCTTTACAATCTTATAGTTGAAGCAACTCGTTTTGTCAGCTGGCCTCACGTATGTTTCTCTTGGCAGGCTGACTGGAACCACGCGGTGATGTTTTACCAGTCCACTCTGGGGCTACAGTCCAGCTTTAAACCTGCCAGGGAACGGCTCAAGGCCATTTTGTGTCGAGGACTTGCCACGCAACAGTTGTAAAATTTGTACTTAACCTTCCCAAGATGCTCCAACTCCGGCCAAATTTTTTTTAAAAACATGACACTGTTGACTGTTGAAGTTAACCCTGCTCTACTGTAGGCCTATTTATTTTGTCTTCTGTTG